CTTACCATTAGACGCACGAATTGTCCGCCACGTCCCTTATTATAAAAAAAAGCGAAAACCTAAGAGCTCGATATTTTTCTTTATTTGAATAGTAATTAAATGGGCTATTTAGTCTACAAAACACATTTGTTTGAATAAGCTACCTTTCTTAGTTTCCGAGATATTAAAGTTAGTGACCCGGATTCATTGCTCCCAAGTGTATATATACCTATCCAAATAATGCTTCAACTTCTACCGGGTGACCTCGACGTACATAATATCTCAACTAGATTGAGGATGTCCTTAAAAAGGGTCAGATCAAAAGTAGTAAAAATAAACGAGAATGTATAAAAAGAGTGAGGATGTTAAAGAAGCGAAACGGTTTTTTCTTATGCTACCAAGTTACGAGACGAACAAGTTCACATAGTGATAAGCAACACGTCTATCCATATCAGTTGCAATGCCTGAAGGGCACTGCAACGTGGCCCAGTGCCATTCTGAGACAAAAGTTGACATGTCTCATGTGCCTGTAATTTCCGCCAACCCTTCAAAACCGGTTCGCAGTAGTGCTTTTATTACAGAAATAGGTAAGGTACTTCCCTGGATGAACTTTTTCTCAAGGAGTTTTCACTACTGTTACTAAAATATGTAGAGGTACAAAAGGTTGCAAGAGGACGTCCATAGTCTTTGCCTACTCAAATTGGAGACAGATGTGATAGTACATGAATATCGTCGTCTTAGAGTGAATACCTCGTATGCGATTGTTATGTAATGTTTTAGGACAAAGATAAAAATGTGGTGTAAAATGTAGTTAATGCAATAATTTTTGTAGTTAGCATTTTAATTAGTAAAACTATACCTCTTTCAGATACTAAATTACTTTAATTTGAGCAAGAAGTTTATAAGATTTTCTTCAACAAAAATCAGTAAAAACGTACTATGTGAAAACACGTATGCGAGGTTTTCACTCCAAGGCGAGGATATGTGTAATTGCTTCATTTCCTGGGCACTCACGACAGACCTACTCTTCTCTAGCCTCCTGAGACCCAGTAAACTACAAAAAGCGCTAAAGGCCCAATGTACATTAAAACGTACCCTTCTTCTTGTCGAGTCAATGACAAAAACCAATAAATAACCAAACCAGTGCCATATTTTCTTTGGCTCAGTAAGCAGCCACCTCCATACCCCTATCTATTACCTTTAGCAGCTCTTCATGGGTACAACTGGTTGGACATAGTGGGCATGAGACCAAATGAGTCACGCTTTATGCAGGGGATCCGCAAGCACAATGATTTTGAGATGGGTTGATATAGTTGATATATCCCCGTTTCATCATGTTGTCTCTACATCGACCAACTTGTGTCTTAAGACAGTTCAAGGATTTCCATATTGACCACTGTAACTCGTATAAAATAAAGAGGAGCAGCGAGTTTCGCGTGCCAAATGTACGCCTCGCGTCCGTTGGGCTACTTTTTAAAGCGGTGGTATATCTAAGGGAGCTCTTACGGCTTGATAGTCGCGCTGGTGGCAAATTGTAGCCGAACAGAGCCTCTCCGAGCGAAGTTCTGTCCTGCTTATACGTTAACGTCCGGTGCACCCCGGTAACAGCTAGCACACGGTAACGCAGAATCTAGCCGCACAATCCTCTCACCACAATGCCAATACCAAAAATATGCTTAATATGATTAATAAATATATATAATTAATGAATTAATAATATAATAAACATAATTGATAATATAAAATTAATATACTTCAGGCCCAAGCAAATATACCCTCAGATTTATATGAAAAACGTAGTTAAAAAAAGAAAATATAGTGCTAAATTTTAATGCGATGTTTTAATTATACCCATTAACACATTGGGCGTTTATGTAATCATAGGAATAATAATATTGTCTGGGTCTGAATCACTTCACATATTATGTACAATTTGAAGTAAATGGGGCTTTAGGAGGCTAGTAAACGGTAAATAACCTACTAGCATTCGTGACAGTCCATCGGTTGCATCATTCAAGCGCAAATTAAAAAAGTCCTGTTAAACTTAGAAGTTAATTAGTAACATATATTATATATAAACTAATAATTTGTTTAGTTTACAATAGAGCTTTTGTATGTATTCACGTAGTTCGAGTTGATGTAGGTGTATATTTCAGTCATATTTATTGTCATCATTTATATTTTTATTTTATTTTTTATTTATATATTTATTTATTTATTTCAGGCAACTACGACCCATAGATACATACCTTACACACTAACATACATATTGTATAATATAACAATAATATAATAAAACAATAACAGAAATATTAAATAAATACCTTACGGACTAATCATAAATACAATATAACATGATAATATACATATAACACTATTTATTTACACGTATGTACTTCGACGTGTGACACAACGTAGGTGTCCGGTAGCCGTCCTCGGAAACGCCGGTACATGACACCCTTCGGCCAAAAGTCTTCCCTCATGAAGGTCGACAGGTGTTGAGTTGGTACTCGCACCACAAATGAATTAAAATTCACATTGTGGCGCGACTCCAACCGCTCGACCCTCAGGTTTGCGTTGGCCTTCACTCGCATGTACTCCACAATATCGCAGACTTGGTGGAGTAATGAAGACGCGACACGTATAACAACGTCGTCGGTACCGCTGGACGCAATAAATGATTCGGGCCAGTCAGGGCGGTGCCACTAAGGTTTCGGCTGGTGTTCTTCTTTTTCTTTCCCACCTTCCGAAAGCCGTCCTCGTCGCACTGATCAACTCGTCTCGGTGGTACTGACGACGCAGCTCCAGATACGAGTTTCCTTTTCGGTTTTCCCTTCATTGGTTGCCTGGGTTGTGGTTGTGGAGTACTAGGTCGGACAGCGGCAACAGCTGCGTAATCACATGGAGGGGTCGTCTCCGGCGGGGCGGGGTGCGGGGAAACGCGCGCGGCAACAGTGCCAGAGGTCGGTGACTGACAAAACTGCTGAAAGAAGCATTTTGCGCCCCGCGACAAGTGTTCACGTTGCAGGCCTCAGGTGACCTACTTACCGAAGTCGCACTACTAAGTAATACAACTTGGGCACACAACTCACTGATGGTGTTGTCTGAGGCCTCCAATTTACACTGAACTTCAGCAAGGCTTGCTTTTAGGGACGTGATGTCCTTCAGCAGCCTGTGACGTCGACGTGGTCGAACGTGACAGGGGGCAGCTTATGCAGCTCCTTCGCCACGAATGCAGGCACGTCGTCTGGGTCGGTCTCCTTGAACAACGTAATGATATCCTGGAGACTCTTCGCTCCTCCATCTCTCCGACGAGACGGCATCTGCTCGGCTTTGCCAAACGCCCGGAAAAGCAGCGCCTTGCCACGGCAAAGCTCTTCTTCTTTGAAATTTGACTTGCAGATCTGCACGATGCTGACTTCGTCCATGGTATCTATGGCGTGTTGTATAAACGCCAACAGTTCGTTGGCTATGAGTTGCTGAGAACCCATAGTCAATTACGTGCAGCGGCAATTGCCGCGCAGGTCGCGAATTATTATAATTCTTATTGTGCAGTGAAGCACGATATACATGTAATGTATATATATACATTGAGACTGCCTCAGTGGCCGAACGGTGATCATGCCGGACTGCCTCGCAGAGGTCACAGGTTCGATTCCCGGGCCGGGAGAAACATTTGTATGGCCTACATTTATTTCTCTCGTGACTTTGGGTGTAATTTGTGGTTGTCTATGTGTGTGTCCATGGCACCCGCGACACAGGGTTTCCCTAGTGCGGGGCTATGTTGAATGTATGCGTTATTATTATTACTATTATTGATATATTTACAATTAAATAAATTTATTATACAATAATTTTTCCACAGACTTTGTTTATTCACCACGGCTAGGGTTGACTGGAAGAGATCTCTTCTAGAGATAAGCTCACCTTTGTATGGCCTTCGTAACATGTAATTTTTAATGTATCGTTTTGTGCAACAAAGAATTATTATTATAAATTTCCGTTTTTTCTCTTAATTATTTTATTGTTTATGCTAATTCAAATAGTAAATACCTCGCGCTGTATTTTGTATTAAAATTAATTATATCACACGTAATTATATAACATCATAGACTTTGTTCACGAACGTCTCTGAAGATGTGATTAATTTCGTTTCTGTCACTGTCTTAATAATTAGAACGAAACGAATTACAACAACTCAAGTAAAATTTACAAAGTCCCCGAAACATTGTATTTTCAGCCTTCAGGAAGAACTTATAAGTAATATTAAAGTCGTTTGGATGAAGTTAAAAAAGTCGTCCAGAGTTTGAAAGATTTCTCAAGTGGCTCATTATTTTCTTCTAATTACTTAATTATATTAAATGGACTATTTGTTCGTAAAATACTAGCATTTGAAATTATAGAGGTTTTAAGAGCCATTTGAGTAATTTTTATGATTTGCACATTCTTTCTTTTAAAAGAATATTCATTGTTTTCAGTAATATTGTGGTAAACTTCTATAAACAGACCACAAGCTCGATGCTAACATATTTCAATATTTAGCAGTTTATATAAAGCTAAAACTTACTCCTTTGAGCAAATAGCTATAGCACGAGATATTGATGGTGGTTTCGTTATAAAAAGTTCCGGAACCGATCTAACTGCAAAAAACACACTCTTCTCTAGTTCGTCTATATCAATCTTGGCTGCAAATTTAAAAAGTCATTATAATTAACATTCATTTAAATTTAAGATTATTCATGACGAAGAGCGAAGTTACTACGGCGGTGTTTAACGGCGCACCTGCCTGAGGCGCTTTAGCGTGGTCGTAATTTCGACCATGCGACGCAAAGTCGGCAAAAGTCAATTACAATTTATTAAAACCGTCTCCATTTATATCAATTTGACGCAAACTGTTACAAATACTGGTAATGTTCCGTCCTTTCATCCGACGAGGCGGGGCTACGCAAGCGCCGCGACCGTACGGCGGCGGAGGCTCGTAGACAAAGCGAGGCTACGACGAGGGCGGCCAGTACGCAGCCGGCGCGCCCCGAGCTCGCAGCCACGCGTCACTCGTATCGTTCGTTTGCCGCTCGCAAACACACGCTCGATCCTAAACACTCTCCTCTACTATTGGCCGACCCGCTCCAATTCGCCTACCGATGAATTTTTAATAGCTTCGATACCTAAGCGCCAACGAATGATTGAACTTAGAACTCGTAACTTACTTCGCCACAGCCATGGAAACTCTTTTGTTGACTTATCTGTAATAGTCGTAAAAGTTGATTCGATTACCATGTCGCGGGGTTAAAGAAATTTCCCACTATGATCGGTCAAAGATTGGTCTCGTGTTTCACCGCAATGGCTCTGTTACTAATGATTGCCGGTTCTTTGGCCGTTTCCGACGGTAAGTAGTAGTAAATAAAACGGACATTAGTTAAGCACTTCAACAGCAAAAATAAGAAAACTGTTTTCGCGCTTCATTTCTTGCTTTTCCACACAAATGTAACTGTATTAATTTAAGTAAGTTGAGTGTTCTGTGTAGTGTAGTACAGTATAGTTTTATAAAACTTCAGCTACACTTACTGACAGTACCTAGTGTGCAAATAAATATGGAAATAATAATAAGTGTGTACGTCTAACTTTGACATACACAAAAACTTTGACGTGTGACGAAAAGTTTGTGATGGGAGTTGCATGTTTTATAACTTTGGAGTCCTTACGCAGTTGACCGCTGACTCGTAAATCGTAAACCGCTTCCTGTTCTACAGACAACGCTGCAAATTATACTTATAACCCTTATGGGGAAGCAATAGGGGTTACATTTGTATGGATAATTGAACAGTGTACTGACCCTATGATATTGTTGACAAGCAACGACCAATGTAGTCGTAAACTTGTTTTTGTAAGCGGAATACCTAGAATAGAGTACCCATACTCTATGAAAGCAGTGTCGCCTGTAAAATTGCTAGAGAATAAAATGGAAGCCCTACTTTCTCGTTAGCAGTCGTCTGTCGCTTCGGTATCCGTCAAAGCGATACATTTTGACACACAAGATCCTTCCAGGAATACTTATTGTCTGTTCTTTAGAAGCTTTTGTCTGCGCATTCACGAGCGTACTTTTGGAAATGGGTGGCTACATTTTATTATTCTTTTATGATGTTTCCACGTACCCTTTTATCAATATATGCGTGGAAGAGTCGCATAAATACCTTCTTCAATCATTTTCTCTGGATATATCCAGACGTCAGCGAATGATATGATTACGAGAATGAAAAACTCAATATATATTATTCTCGTTTAATAATTCAATATTTAATTATAATAAATAACAATAGATAGGTCAACAACTATATATGTATATATTATTGTCTGTTTATCATTTACACAAAATACTTGGTGTTTCTAAAATTTGAAAAATAAAATTAAGTTTACTACATCAATGCCCTGTGCCTTATGTGCACTGTTTTATTATTTATAACAAACTTGTGGAATAATTTGACAAAAAATAATTGAATATCATGGTAGTAAAACATCGTGATATTCAATTATTTTTGTATATAACCTTTTGCAGATTTCAGTTTGTTTCCCTAAAGTAACAAAAGATAAGTTAATTGAATAATGAGTGTACCTCATTATTCAATTCTCTTATCATTAAACTACCTGTATTTATTTTATTTTTACTATTTTATACCAAAACAAAAAAAAATATTAATAATGTTCATTTCTTGTGAATTTAATTAAGTGAAATGAAACTATTTTTCCGGATTTAAATCGCGTATATTTGTTTTTTCAAACAAACAGACGTTTCATGCCCTTTACAGGTCCCATGGTCACGGTTGACCATGTTTGAAAACAAATATACGCGATTTAAATCCGGAAAAATAGTTTCATTTCCTATGTGTAACAATCGCGAAAACCTAAGAACTCGATAAGTAATATAAGTTATTCATAACGCTAAAATTTTAAACATTTTATTAACGCTATATCTACATAAACTTTATGTCAGCAATCTAATATGGAATAATTGATGTGATTTTATTATTGGTAACTTCTACGAAACTACTCCTCGAGTATTAAGGAACTTACAATTCTGGAAGAAATGCTTCTAGATTTAAAATTTTATCATCTTACCTCATTATAACTCACGAAATAGAATAGATACTTAGTTGAAAGTTTTATAACAACCGACTTTAATTTTTAGACTTTAATCTTGAAAACGGGACGACCAGCAACAAATAGAATCTGGTGTAGCTTTCCATTAGCATCAAACGATGTTCTGATCGAAAATCGTTTTTATGTAGGCCATTTGTTATTTTTATAGTTCATCTCAGTTATTGCTCAGTTCGGACTTATAATATCTTCAATGTGATGAATTAGAATTTGAGCTAATTACCTAACAACAATAAATAATGAACTAGTCGAAATTGCCCTTTATCTGAATATCATATAAAAGATTAATTCTCCTTTATTTACAAAATCTGCCAAATTATAAATGCCGTGGAAGGATCTCATTAAAATTTCATTATATATTACTATCACTTTGACACTTTTCATAAATAATACATAAACAAAACGGTCAAAGCTTTAATGTAAAAATATATATCGATGCTTTACTTTCTCAAAGTCATATCTTATAAAAAGTGATTATTCAGGAGATGGCAAAATTTTCTATATATTTTAAATTTCTTATCAAGTCAATTGTTAATTTGGATGCATTACTTTAAAAATAGGTAAAAGCCAGTGAGTGAATATTAAGGAAATGTGATATGCAATCAGCCTGCAAAATTTGTATAAACAACCCAATTTTTTGCATTTCAGTACCTTTGTGCTTTAAGATATGTGTTTAAAAAAGTAAGGCGACGCTACAAGTAACAAAATTATTTGGTCAACCTTTGTCAATAAGTTAAATATAATTCATAATGGTAATAGATAATTTTCAATAGCCAGTCAGTCGGCAATGAGTAGCTAAAACAATTAAACCATCACCAAAGCCAAGATTTATTATTTAAATACCGTTATTAATACCATAAGCTGGCAGAGCGGCAAACAATCGGCATATTTTTGGCATATTTTTTCTCCACGCCTGCTCCCGGGTTGATATCTATAACCCCATTATTCAAGGGATTAGCTTTTTGTCGGATGAACCGTGGAATATTCAAAAGGGAATCATAGGATTTTATTCCGACTGCATGAATGTTGCGAATCGAATATCTTTAATGTCTATTGTTCTTTAGACATTCCAGAGGTATAAACTATTAATATCTCTATTCAAAAGTCTTAATTAGTGTTATTGTTATATAGTAGCAAATTTCGGCCGTTACTTAATCACGTTGTTGCAATTATTTGGTTGAAATTTGTCGTACGTTAAGATTAACTATAGCATTATAGTGAATTCAATCAAGATAATAATCTTTTTTTATAATATCAAGTCACAGGACGAACAAGTCGTGCACCTGGTGTTAAGCGACGCCTGGCCATGGCAGTTGCAGTACCACTCACACCTTTAAATCGCTGACATCTGAGGGATAGTGCCACTGCGCCTGTCAACTTATATGTCAGGGTGAAGGGCACAGTGGCAGTGCCCCTCATATCATTGTGATTTCAAGCTTTGAGTGGTACTACAACTGTTATGGACAGGCGCGTCGCTTACCATCAGGCGCACAATTTGGTGTCACGTCCCTTGATATCATAAACAGAAATGTATATAAGTCGACAAGTCCCATGAGCCTGTAATTTCACCAGCACCCTTACCCTTCTAAATCGAAACACAGTAATGCTCACATTACTGCTTGGCGGCAGAAATAGGTAAGATGGCAGTACTTCTCTGGACGAACTCTTTCACAAGGAACTATACTGCTTCTAAATTTAATAATAACGGATAAAAGTACTCACTTTCATTCAAACCTAAGAGAAGTTACGGGAGAACCACGTTTACAAGACAAATAATACAAGGACAAATCCGTCAATGTATGTACTTGTGAATAAAATATAATATCCAAGAGCCATAATATACCGAACAACAAACATAATTCAATTATTGTTTTGCTATTCTCAGAACAAACATGAGACGAATCAACCATTGGCTGAAAGTAAACACCGCAAAGAACCCATGATAAATAACTCTCTCCCCAGTCCGTTTGTTAACATCTTGACCGCGATACTAAAGTGAATTACTATCAAACTCTAGGTGAACTTTGGCGGAGTTTCCAACTTACCTTGTGATGATTATTTGCGGGCGTAGTGCTTCAATTTGTTACTCTATTCCGCCTTTACCGGGAACTTGCTTCCGAGCCCGAATGCCAGTTCATTGCGAAGCCAATTGCCACATAAACAAGCCTGCTTCCCGCTATGCGGTCGCGATACCAAAACTTCCTTGTTTACAGTTCTCACTACATATCATAAAACATCTATTCGCCGCACAACTTATACTCTCATCTCGGAGAATTATGAAGTGTTCCAAAACTTTGGTGCTCGTAAAATATTAATTAATGTTTTAAGATTATAATACAATTAAACGACGATTGAACCAAATGATATATGATAATTCAAGTGGAAATAAACTTCTACATACATTTTCTCATAACTTTTTGTATCTGAAACGTACTCCAAAAATTCAATTCATTATTATATTTTATGTTTACTAATTGGTGCGTAATGTTAAACATTACGAAACAATTTTTAATCAAACAAACTAAAGTTTTCATATTATGAAAATTAATTATTATGTGAAAATGACAATGAAATACAGCATGTTTAAGTATGTAAAGTTTATGTCATTGTATATGTAAATTAAGTACAAACTTTCTTCCATATTATTATTAAGCTCTAAATACGTTAACAAGACATGAAAGTGCTCATACAGACCTATTTCTTTGTATTGTTGGACGTACAGAGAAAGGAAGCCCAACTTTGTCTAAGTTATTACCCGAACAATGACGGGAATACTCGAACCGATTCGATGCCGATTTCCTTAGAAACACTTATCACGCTTGTTATATCAAAGTGGTTGGGTAGTTTCGTGAAAAAGCGACAAACTTTGGCCGTTTTGGGCGTTTAGACTAAAATGCCTCACATAAATCATCTAACCATTATTATGATAAAAGATTTTTACGGTTAAAATTTGGAAAATTTAGGAAAGAAACAAATTCTTTTGGCTGAATGAATGTCCCGACTTACTTTTTAAAACTTATTTCATTTAATAATTTCTGATCGAGACTTTTGTACATATAAAAAAACTAAACCTCAAAATAACTTGATCTTGTCTTTTGTCCAAGTGGCGAGACAAACAAGTCGTCCGCCTGATGGTAAACGACTTGTCTATACATAGCACTCGCCGTGCCACTCAGAGCTTCATCGCAAATCTAAATCGTAAAATCTGAAGGGCACTACTGCGCCCAACACACT